ACATTGTTGAAAGAAATTAAAGAGGACCTAAATAACTGGAAAAACATTTCATTGTTCATGGATTTGAAAATTTAATATTGTCAAAGTGATGACAGTTATTCCCCAAACTGATGTACACATTAAGCAAATACCTATCAAAATCATGGCTATCTTTTTTTTGCAAAAATTGAGAAGCCCATCTTAAAATTTGTGTGACAATGCAAAGCATGCAGAATGTCCAAAATAGCCTTGCAAAACAATACAGCTGGGAAATTTACCTGTTCTGATTTCAAAACTTATTACAAAGCTACAATATTTGAGACAAAGTGCTCCTTGCATGAAAATACACAAATAGATCAAGGGAATCGAATTAAGAGTCCACAAATAAATACCTACATTTATGACCAATTGATGTTTGATAAGGATGTCAACACATTCCATGGATAAAGAATAGCCTTTTCAATAAATGGTGCTGGGATGATTGAACATGTATATGCAAAACAATGAAGGTGGGCTCCTGCCTCATATCATATACAAAAATGAACTCAAAATGAATCCTCGACTTAAGTATAAGGTCTAAAATGATAAAGCTCTTAGGAAAAAACATAGGGTAAATTTTTATAATCTTGGGTTAGAAAATGGTTTATTAGATATGAAACCAAAACACAAGTGATAAAAGATAGATAAATTCAATTTCATAAAAATTTAAAACATTTGTGGGTTTTTTTTTTTTGTTTGTTTTTTTTTGTTTTGTTTTGTTTTTTGAGACGGAGTTTCGCTCTTGTTACCCAGGCTGGAGTGCAATGGCGCGATCTCGGCTCACCGCAACCTCCGCCTCCTGGGTTCAGGCAATTCTCCTGCCTCAGCCTCCTGAGTAGCTGGGATTACAGGCACGCGCCACCATGCCCAGCTAATTTTTTGTATTTTTAGTAGAGACGGGGTTTCACCATGTTGACCAGGATGGTCTCGATCTCTTGACCTCGTGATCCACCCGCCTCGGCCTCCCAAAGTGCTGGGATTACAGGCTTGAGCCACCGCGCCCGGCTCATTTGTGTTTTAAAAGAGACATTCAAGAAAATGAAAAGACAAACCATAGCATAGAGGAAAAACATTTGAAAATATATATCTGATAAGTAACTTGTATCCAGATTATATATAAAGAGCTCTTACAGGACTGTCACGGTGGCTCATGCCTATAAACTTGCCATGGTGGAAGGCAGAAGTTGGAAGATCACTTGAGGTCAGGAGTTTGAGACCAGCCTGGGCAAAAAGGAAAGCTCCTGTCTCTTCAAAAAAATTTTTTTTAATTAGCCAGGTGTGGTGTTGTGTGTGCCTGTAGTCCTCGGTACTTGGGAGGCTGAGGCAGGAGAATTGCTTGAGCCCTGGAGTTAGAGGCTAGAGGGTACAGTGAACCATAACTATGCCACTGTGCTCCAGGCTGGGTGACTGAGTGAAACCCTGTCTTTAAAAAAAAAAAAAAAAAGAAAGAAAGAAAAAGAAAAAAAAAAAAAGAAGCTTACAACTCAATAATAAAACGAAAATAAAGCAATTAAAAAATGGCCAAAGAAGCCAAGTAAACTTTCTCCAAAGAAGATACACTAATGGCTGACAAGCACATGGGAATATACTCAACATCATTAGCCATCAGGAAATGCAAGTTAAACCACAACGAGGTACCATTTCATTCACTCTAGGATGGCTAGCTAGATAAAAAGTTAATAAGTATTGGTAAGATGTAGAGAAATTGGAATCCTCATACATTGCTGGTAGTAATGTAAACTGGTGCACCCACTTTAGAAAACAGTTTGTTAGTTTCTCAAATGTTTTTAAACTTAGAATTACTCCATGCTCTTGCAATTTCATTTCCAGGTATACATCCAAGAGAAATTAACAAATGTTCATACAAACTCGTACATGAATGTTCATAACAGCTTTATTCATAAGAGCCAAAAACTCGAGACAACCTAAACATCCATCAATTGCCTATCAACTAATAAATAAACAAAATGTGATGTATCCATACAGTGAAATATTATGTAGCCATACAAAGATGTGAAATACAGATACATGCCACAGCATGGATAAACCTTAAAAAAAATTATGCTATATGAAAGCGGCCAGTCATAAATGATCACATATGGTATGCTTCCATTTACATGAAATGTTCAGAACAGGCAATTTTAGAGGCAAAAGGTAGATTAGCCGTTGCCTAGAGCTAGAGGGTGGCTGAGGAATGGAGTGCAGGATTTTCTTTATGGAATGATGAAATGCTGCAAATTGGATTGTGGTGATGACTGCACAATGATGTGAATATACTAAAAAATACTGAATCATAAAAATTAAATTTCCTAATTATATATGTGGATTATATTTTAATAAAGCTGTTACAAAAAGATATATGAACATCATTTGATACCTCAAGTCAAAACTAAATTAAGCTGTAGCACCATGATTTGAAAGGCATCCATAGTCTAGGAATATATTATCCAGGAGACAAATAGTAAGAAAAAAGCAATTTCCCTCTGCTGGCTCTCAATTGATCAGGCCTTTATAATAGAGTCTTGTGTCCAGTTTTAATCTCTACCTTTTATTAAGGATGTGGAAAAACAGAAGAGAATTCGGAGGAGTTCATCATAATGACACTAAATTATTAGCAACTTGTGAAAAAATATGAAGGATGTTGGTATAATTTAATCCAGAATCGGGAGGAAAAACAGAGGAGGGCATTTGGGCAATGTAAGGGAACCAAGGGCTGTCTGCTAGGAGATAAAATCTCATTATGAGGGGAAATGAACCAGCTCTGTACCATAGCTATAGGGGATATAATAAAGTAAAGTTTGAATAAATTGAAGCCATTCAAAATTAGAATATTATGGAATTTTATAACTTTACACATTGTTCTGATAGAGTATTTACAGGAAGACAATAACAAGAGGACTTGAAAAATCTTTTTTAGAGGCATTTAAGATTAGAAAGGATGGGTATTTTTAGGAGTTTAAAGAACATGAAAAATTCATGAGACTTTCTGTATATAAAAGTATCAGGATCAAAAAAAAAAAAAAAAAAAAAAAACATGTTAAGTGATCATAACCCAGGAAATTTCCAAGCAAAATGAATGGCCAGGAAGAAATATATGAAAAGTAACAGTTCTTACCATTAATTTGAAGATTGGTGACTATCATTATCTTTTTCCTATATTTTTTCACATTTCCTATAGAATACATCAATATATTTCTAGTCAACAAATACAACTTAAAAACATGGAGGATACAGGTGATCTGTGTTAGTTCTGGTGTTTGTGTCCTCTCTAGATAGCTAATACATTTTCATCACATGTTTTTCACAGGCAAGAAATGTCTACTTCAGGAATAAGAAAGATTATGTTAACCCCTCCCCTTCCTTAATTTAATTTCATTTTGTCTTTCTGATTTATTAGGCCTATGTGATAACACTATTATAATTGCCTTTGGATTTATTATTTTTCACCAAATAGGTCTTGGACACTATATTTGCTCAAATAAAATATACTTTTAGTGAGAATTCCTCATCTCTTATTTTATTAGGGGATTATACTACAGATTTTTAATAGCCAGCTATTTCACAAAGCAAGCACATTACCACTCAGATTGCTTAGGTATAAAGAATATACAAAGAAAAAAAATGTAAATGGTTGTTTCCAGAGCTCTCTGGTTTAATTATATTGCACAATGCCTTTGGTTCATCTTTCTTCTGTTGATCTCAAAGCTGGCAACTCAGCAAGCCTTTATTGAGTGATTTACCATGGGCAAGTTTCTTCTCAGAGTTTCAACCTTGTATTCCCACATAACAGATAAATAATTTTTTTTCAAACTAATCTAAGCTAATAATTCAGAGTTCTTATTTGGAGATCTCAGGTAAGCAAGCCTGCTGGAGAGTAAGCTCATAAGCAAAAGGTGTACTCAGCCTTCTCCTATTTTTTTTTTTTAACATTCATCAACAGTCCTACTTATGCCCTACTGACTTTTCTATATTCATTTTAAGTTTGATGTCATTAATGATGACACAATAGTATTTACTTTATATACCTTTCTTTCTCTAGAGATGTGGTCCCCAAGTAATTCAGATTTCCAAACTCCACTTCAGCTCCTATTTCTGGGATAGGATCCTTGCAGATGTTTGTTTTCAAAGCTCCCTGCATTAAAAACAATCAGGCTCAAGGCCAGGCACAGCGGCTCACAGTTGTAATCCCAGCACTTTGGGAGGCCAAGGCGGGTGGATCACAAGATCAGGAGTTTGAGACCATCCTGGTCAACATAGTGAAACCCCTTCTCTGCTAAAAATACAACAACAACAACAACAACAACAACAACAACAACAAAATTAGCCAGGCGTGGTGGCAAGTGCCTGTAGTCCCAGCTACTTGGGAGGCCGAGGCAGGAGAATTGCTTGAACATGGAATGCAGAGGCTGCAGTGATCCAAGATTGCCCCACTGCACTCCAGACTGCGTGACAGAGTGAGACTTCATCTCAAAAAACAAAAGAGCAAAAACAAAACCACAACAATAAAAAACAGGCTCAGATGGCTGATTAAGAAGTTTTACTTATTTGTCTCCTCCATAAGCCAGGGGTACTCCTTGACTGAATACACAGTCTCTGAGGAGTTTTTGATAAATGCAAATGCCTTGGCCTCACCCAAGGCCAATTACATTAAAATGTATGCGATGCATGGGGGCAGGGGAGGCAGTGTGACCAGATATTAGTGTTTTTTTTTTTAATTGAAAGTGTTACAGGTGATTTCAAACATAAAGTGAGATTTGATAACCACTGCACTAGTCTGTGAATAACTTGTGATAAGGGACTTTCTATTGCTATGTCTTGATAGTCACCATTTAATATAGTCCCCTGTGTCAGCTGTTCTATAAAGGCTTGCCAAATGATTGATGGACTAGACATCCCCTGTTGTATTTGCTCATCCCTGATTCCTGAATGGCATTAGATGGGTCTGGTTCTAGATTTAGTCATGTTGGTCTTCATTTTCTTAGCACAGGTGCAGCAGTGAACAGCAGTGAGAGTCTCCCTCCATCCTCGTCTGTCAATGACATCTCCTCCATGTCCACCGACCAGACCCTGGCATCTGACACTGACAGCAGCCTGGAAGCCTCGGCAGGACCCCTGGGTTGTTGCAGGTGACTAGCCGCCTGCCTGCGAAACCCAGCGTTCTTCAGGAGATGATATGATGGAACACACACACACACACACACACACACACACACGACACTCACGCACACATGCAAATGCAGACACACAACATCAAGAAAACAGCAAGGCAGAGAATCCAAGCCTAAAATTAAATAAATCTTTCAGCCTGCTTCTTCCCCAGAGTTCTGTATTGCAGCTAAGCTCAAATGTATATTTAACTTCTAGTTGCTCTTGCTTTGGTCTTCTTCCAATGATGCTTACTACAGAGAGCAAATCAGACACAATTAGAGAAGCCTTTTCGATAAAGTGTAATTTTAATGGCTGCAAAACCAGCGACCTGTAACTGCCCTTTTAAATGGCATGACAAGGTGTGCAGTGGCCCCATCCAGCATGTGTGTGTCTCTATCTTGCATCTACCTGCTCCTTGGCCTAGTCAGATGGATGTAGATACAGATCCGCATGTGTCTGTATTCATACAGCACTACTTACTTAGAGATGCTACTGTCAGTGTCCTCAGGGCTCTACCAAGACATCATGCACTGGGGTACCACATGGTCCATTTCCTGTGATCTATTACTCTGACATAAACCCATGTGTAATATATTGCCAATATATAAGCTGTTTAGTTTGTTAATTGATTAAACTGTATGTCTCATAAGAAAACATGTAAAGGGGGAATATATGGGGGGAGTGAGCTCTCTCAGACCCTTGAAGCTGTAGCTTCCAAGTTTGAACGGATTAAATGGCACCTGTATACCAATTTGTAGAAAGAACATATGTGATGCTTATGTAAAGTGTGGGGGGAGTGGGTAACAGTTTTCAGGCACGAAATGGTTTGGCCTTTAGAAGGCAGGTGTGAATAAAAGCTGAGAGTCTTTTCTGTGACACCGAAGAGTAGGAGAGACTGGAGAGTAGTGTGGTGGTGTGACTGAGACCGAGAGGAGGTCATTACTCAGATTCTAGGAGACATCGGCGGCCCTATTTTAGAGATTTGGCCCTATTCCCATTTGTCATTTCTCAATTATTGGTCACAAGAAGAGACCACTGGAGAAAGTGGCAGGTGGTGAGGCAAGGTTATTGTGTGCGCTTTTGATGGTAAGAATCTCTCCTTGGAATTGAGCAGAATTGCCTCCGTGTGAATTCCTTCAACAGCAACAAAAAAATGAGCCTGCCTAGACTGCTTTCAGATTGTGGGTTGTGTTTTCCATGTGTGGGCTGCTTCCCTGGTTCATACCCCACCAAAGTTTTATTTTGAGAAATAATATTACTTTCCTCTTCCGGAATAAAATAATCAATAAGAATAAAACCCCCAAAGCACAGTGTGAGTCTCAGGTTAGCATTTGAAAACATCTCCAGAGATATTATTATTCTGCAGGAGTTTCCCCGACTCCTTAATGTGGCTGATGTTTCATGTTTATTTATTTATTTTCATAAGTATGAGCAATTGAAGAAGGGCTGATCATCTGAGTTTTGTAATGCAGTAGACATAAGAGCAATAACTCTGCCCATAAATTTACTGCTGCCAAATAGTTTTAGCAATATTAGTTTGTCTTAAAAGCCATGAAGCATTAATGTAAATGTTTAGCAAAATTTCCTGAATTTAGCTTAAATTAAAAGAAAGTGCTTTCCTGAGCACTTAAGGAGGCACTGTGAAACATCTTGGTTATATACAAGGCAATACCAAGGTGATCTCAGCAATAATCAGTTCAGGCTTCCCTTCTTATTCACTTTGAAGTATCCATCACAGTCATTTGCACTCTGGCAATGTTGGTGCTCACCAAGGTGGTGATATTTCACCTGAAGAAGTGAAAGACAGGAAATATATGGTTGATGAGTGTGAACTGATTGGAAAATAGAATCCCCCCCACCCCGAAACAGAGCAAACAAGAATGCCAGTGCTCTGAAAACTGCCTTAAATACAATAATAGGGAAGTTTCTTTCTCTCTTCAAGCAATAGAGTCCACAGGGAACTGCACCCATCTGCACCATCACCGTGCCAGTGGTGCTGCCATTCTGAGATTGTTTCACATGGTCGGATTCAGTACACATGGTCATTTGTTTAAAATAAAGAGAAGAACATTCCTTTGTGCAGCTTGTCCCCTGTAATAAAAATGACCCATTCTCTCTATTTTGCTATCATTTATTTTTTGGTTAATATTGTTGACAACCTGATTGTTAAAAATACCTCCTCAGTCACATGAGCTCCCTCTATTATCTTTCAGTCATATGCCTGTTTTTGTTTTTGATTTTTAAAAAACTTCCCCTCTCTATATCTCTAATTCTTTACTGATTTTTCTTTCCCTGTACTTTTCTCTTGATATATCTGTGGCCTCTCCCCTCGCTTGCTTTATACCACATGGGATTAAGTGCAGAGAGCAGGGAGCTGCTTTAAAGAGAGTCTCGGGTGAATTTTATTGGCCCCAAGATGACATCACAAGGCAGAAGGAAGTTCCCAGTCAGCATCTTTAAAGGGCTTGACATGCTATCTATCTCTCATATCTGCAGAAGTGGTGATGATTTTCCCCCTGAAATTAAACCAGGCAAGAGCTAGACAGAGCCCCTCCCCCACTATTAGCACTGTCCCAAAGCTCTATTAGTCTTACATCTTCTGTGCATGGCTCTTGGGAGCTGGTTAGCTTTAGCCAGATTTCCCTTATGGATAAAAGAAAAATGGAACAAATCCCTCGAATTTAAGTATCATTTACAAATGGAGGTAAGGATTTAGCCCCCAGAATTTTTGCAGGATCAATTTTATTAGGTGATCAAAAAAAGGTAGATGATAGAGCAACGAAGATTATCACTACTGTAAAAGTCCCCCAGTCCTTTACCCACCAGGTCTGCTTTCTTATACTATCTCTAGGAGGTGATGATATTATCAAATTCACAGAATATAGTATGTTCTGCATTCAGTCGCCTTACATACACACACACACACACAAACACACACACACACCTGCAAATATTTATTAGTCACTTCCCAGGAATGTCCTAACTTTTCAGGTAGGCAAGTGTAAAGTCACCTGGCCAATATTCCTGAAAAAAATGAAGGCTTTACCCAGGACCGGGGCTCATTTTGGAACCTGAAATTGGCACTCTGAGGAGCCTTATCTTCTGTCACTTCCTATGGGGCAGCTGGTTTGCAGAGATCCTTAATAAAATCTTTTGCAGTATTTTGTAGGAAGGATGGCTGTATACTCATGTGCAAGGAGAATTAAACTGCTGTGAGAGTTTGGAAAAACCACCATCACTTTACTATTAGTATGTCTTTACTATTTTTATATGTGTTTTGTGGGTCAGCGTGTTCAAATCTTAAATAGGAATACACTAGCCTTACAACAGAATTTCTTCTTGTGGAATAAAAACTGATAATAATCTTTCATCTTCAAGAATCTGATGACTGAGCTTTGTAGGAATGTACCCCAACAGTTGGACCAGAGCCTGGCCAGTTCCCACCAACTGGAGTAAGCTATTTAATTGAGGGCCAAGAAGCTCAATAGTGTTTTCAATCTGTTATCAGAAAAATATTTTCTAAAGACACTGACAGCGGCTGACTGGTAAAACGGAAAGTTGGCCTTAGCAAATGAAACTAGTAAAAGAAAAAAATAGGTAAAAATACAAAAAATCTTTATGTTCTGTCAAGGAAAAAAAAATCAAGGAAACCTCACTTTTTTGAATTTCAAATATTCATTACAAAACCTAAACCATACACAATCTATTTCAATTTGAATCCCTTAACATATGAAAAGCCATGTCTTAAGTGCATTATGCTCATTATGCTCTGTAAGGCATGTTATTAGCCAGCTTTGCTGAAAAATATGTCATCTACAGCTCAGAAAAAGAAGTAAAATTGTTCTAGAAATTTTTGATCCCAGCCACTTTGGATCCAAAGAGGAACCCGACTCCCCACTCACAATCCCCCACACACATTTTAATTACAGGAGTCTAACATTTTCCACAGATATTATTAAACCAAGCAAAGAAACTTCTTTCTGTAAAAACAACAAAAAAGTTACTATGTACATACTTATATTAGCTACTTTCTTTGTGATTAGAGGATAAGATTTTGTTATTTCTTTTGGCACTTAGTCCTTAACTATCTGAAAATGGTTCACTTTGACCTGTTTCTTTGATCAGCCAAACTTAAGTGAGGGGCCTCTGTTTATATATAGAATCTTGTATATGTAACTTTACTTATGTGGGACCAATGGCCAGTATACTCTAATGGACATAAATCTCCCAATCCTTATCTAGGATTATCTGTTCACCTTGCCATGTCCATCTTGCAATGAGACCTAACTTGCACTTGCCTGTTTTTCTGCATGATTGGATTCCAAAGACTATTACCAATGATGAGAATTGTCCTGTGTCAGTGTTTATAAAATGGACTTAAAGCATACACACATGCATACACACATTCACATCCACCCTTACAGTTCTAGATCAACCCTGCAAAGCAAAACCATGTACTCCCAGTTTCTTTGCAAGGTCTGAGTGGTGAGAACTAAATTCAGTCAGCCTAATGGGTAAAATGCAATCTCAGTGATGTTTAATATGGATTTGAAATCATAGTCATTTCTGTGTTCTTTCTCGTACACTTTCCTATTTTCTCTTCCTTTATTTTCAAAATGTCTGTGGAACAAGAGGATGAATCGGGGAGAACTTTTGCTTCCTTTGACTCTTTGTAGGTGATACAGAGTTAATATATTGTGATTTCTGTTTCGTATGAATTATTAAAATCAGAGGAAACCTGCTTCCCTCAACATAAAACCAAATCCAGACCCAGACGCTGTTGGAGTTTGCCTGTTGACAATGGTTATGATGCTGCTCGCTGTCTTGAGTTGCATGTACTGACAATAGCTCTGAAGGGCCTCATGATTTCATTTTGTCATCTGATAAATGAAACTTGTAGTATGGTCCGATTGTGCCAGGGAATAAATAAGAAATAAGGAATGACAATGACCTACTTTCTCACCTTGGGTCAAGAGTGTGTGATATGAATGTGACCATGTAGAAATCTGCGTTTTTCATTAGACACTGGTTTCTTCTAAAAATGACCTCATTTCTGTCTGCAGATACTAGTTGTATATCTGCAAATCAGTAATTTCTCTTTAAGGTATAAAATCAATAAAGGGGAAAAAAAAGATCACGGGGGGGGCATTAGGTGAGTAGAGCAGGGTTAAATTTCCTAGATTATCAAATTCCTATTCATTTTAACTATTTTCTAACAAAAGAGGCAAAAGCCTTTGTTTATCTACATGATATCCAACTTTAATATCTCAAACTCACTGGATAATTAAAAAGATAGGATGAAGAGGTCACTGCACTTGCATTAGTTTACTTTGCAGTATCTGAACAATGTCGAGGAGTGGCCCTTCTATTTCTGTAAATGATGTTTTATTTAACCAATTAACTATTAGAAAGCCTGGAAGATAAACATACGCATTATTACCTACTTCCTGTTGGAAGATAGAGAGCGACAACCTTTAGTTATCTCGGGCACAGCTTTTATCCTAGTTTAAATCACAGATCCTTACTCCCTTTTAAAAAGGTTAAGCATAGGTACCTAAAAATACCCACAATAGTAAGAAGGGAAATTGCATTCCACAAGATGATTGCTCAGAAAGAGTCAGATGGAGTTACTGGTGCATTCTTGATACCATAGATGGTTACCAAACATTTGATAATTTTGACCAAGTTCACAATAAGAAGGAAAAAACAGCCTTGGACTTACTTTTCTTGAAGATTACTTATGGAGCAACCAACCTAGAAGGATGAATCTATTTACCAATAACAACACTGGTCACAGCCAAGGTAGAGGTTTTTGACATTACCAATTCATCACAGCAGTGTTTTGTACTTGAAACATGTCTTTTCTCCATGGATGTTGAAAGTCTTGCTTGGAAGACATATACAAGTAGTGAAACACACTGAAAGTCCCACCATCACAGACCACTTTATGTTGGGAACCACCATATGTGACAAGTCATCTCTCCCTGTTTCAGACTAAATTTCAGCTGCTCAACCATTTAGATCATTGTAGTCTGTTTAAGGCACTAAAAACATAAAGGTAGAAATTTATATTTCTTGGACACATGAAATGTGATGACACATACAGCAACAAGTCAAACACTCCTTTAAATTTTCTACCTTATGTCAAATATTTCTTACTTTTAAAGACATTCTTATCCTGGTACAAAACCCCACATAAATTGATCTTAGGGAATTTAAGAAATTAAAATTTCACTCCATAGAGTACGTGGCTTTATTTCTTCATCACTGAACTTCGAGTAACATTCTTCACCTGATCTTGTCTGCAATGTTTAACCAAGGGTCCAGATCATTTGCAACTTGGGTACAAATGTTGTTCATCTTAAAAAGCCTTCACATATTGCCTAGAAGAGTGTCTCACACATAATATGCCTTCATTAACACTTGTGAATCCATCCTGGTGAAAGTATTGTCTAGAACAATTATACAAAAAATCAATTATTATAATGCAAATAATATTTTACACAGACCAAGGGAATTCATCATATTAAAGTATTTTTTTAATAAAAGGAAGGTTTTTAGAAAATAATGGCCTCTTCCTTCATGTTAATATATTGCAAACTTGGATTTGGTATAAATCAAGCCCCAAAAAGATTGCTCTGAATTTCCAATTTAATTTCTGAGTAACATTATAAAGCAGTTCATTAATTTACTCCAAAAACATTTATTGAACACTTCTGTGTAGGGGATATCTATTGCATGGTCCATAACCTCAAATTCAGAGTTAATAAATCTTTGTTTAAAAAAAGTAGTTAAAGCAAATATTTTTATTTCATTTATTTACTATCTTTTTAATATAATAATGTATTTAAATTAGTGGTGTGACTTGCATGAGTCAATTTTTATTATTTGCTTAAAGCAATGAAACAAGGAATCTGCTTCTTTCAATGTTCTCATTGTCTAATTATAGATAAATACACTGCATGAATCAACATGAGAATTTTGAATGTTTTCCATCGCAAGAGATAAAACCATTTTTAAAATTTATTTAAAATTTGAAATTCATTTAAAAAATGCATGGATGTTCTTTTCTGCATCATAGAAAGTTTGCTTTGATATATGGTTCCTCTGAGAGATATTGGACCTGGATGCTGACTGACCTCGGGGCTTATACTTTCAGCATCACAGTCTCCAAATCAGCAGATGATGTCACAGTGGGTACTGAAACTTCTTTACAGTGGCATTCTTATATGAAGCCAAATCTTTGCAGTATTTTCAGTCTATGGGTAGTTGTTAGAACCCTAAAATAACTTAAGGTAGAATTTGGTCATTTATTGTTTTTTATTAAAATGTCCAACTGAGAACATCCCTGAACATCTGAACCAGACATTTCACATAGAGCTTTAAATATTCACTCATTCATTCATGCAATAAATATTTATTTATCGAGCATTCAATCATCCAAGGACTGTTCTGGGTATACATAGTTGCGATGAAGTCAGTAAATGTGCCTTCACATGGTCTGCATTCTAGTGGGGAAGTCAAATAGAGGTAAGTACAAGACCACAAAGGAGGTTAAAAAACAAAGTGTGAAAGGGATGCTATTTTATACAAGGTGATCAGGGCAATCCTCTCAGAAGAGGTGATAATTGCTCAGACACCTGACTAAAGTGAGGGAGTGAAGCTATGACATGGAGAAAGTCATTTCAGACACTGAAGAGAAAGCCAGGGCAGGCTCTGGAGGGGCTTGTTTATGTAGACAAGGAGGGGCAAAGAATCTTGTGGATAAAGCAGAATGAACAAGAGAAAGTGGGATTGTAAATGAAATATGAGAGCGAAGCAGGGTTAAAGCATGGCATGATCTTGAGATTTCATTCTAAATATGGGAAGACGGTGGTTAGATCTGAGAGAGGAAATGATATAGGTTAAATTTTCTTTTTAAAAAGATTTCTTAGGCTACAGAGTAAGAAGGAATCTTAGGAAGAACGATAAGGATGGCAACAAAAAATCTGTTATAAGATAAAACATTACGTAATCCAGAGAGACATGATGGAGCTTAGACTCAGAAACGGAGATGCTAAGAATGATTTGAATTCTGGACCTATTGTGAAGGCAGAGCTGACAAGATTTGCTGATAGACTGACACTGTGATGTGAAAGAGAGCAGAGATGACTCTAGATTCTAAACCATGAAGTAAATGTTCGTGTAGTTGACTGAGATGGTGAACAATGGGTTAGAAGAATATTGGGGAGAAAATCATGTTTGCTTTTGGAATATCAGTTGGAGATGTTTATTAGATACCCAAATGGGATAGGAGGAGTATACAGCAGGCTGGAGTTAAAGGAAGAGGTTGAGCTGAAACAGAAATCTGAGAGTAGTCAGCTTATAAATTGTATTAAAAATTACCAATCTGTATGAGACCGTCAAAAGACAGCACAGATAAAGAAGAGAAAACCCAAGATGGAGATGCCTCTCACTCCAACGTAAAGACATCAGGAAACAGGAGGGTATTCCAGAACGTTCAGTGAGGCAGAGGGAAAACCAGGAGAATGTGCTCTCCTGGAAGCCAAGTAAAGAAAGTGTTTCAAAAGTGAGGGCATGGGCAGGGGTGCAGTGTTACTGAGAGACTGAGTAAGATGGGGACTGGGGACTGAAGATTCACAATTGGACTAAATCTGTTTGAAAGCCATTGATGACCCAATGAGAGCAGTTTCTATGCAGTACTGAGCAAGAAAAGAGTAACTCCAGTGAGTTCAAAATAACATGGGAAGTGAGGAAGTAGAAATGGATACAGAAAAGTCAAAATTTTTTCTACAAAGTGCAGCAGAAGAATGATGTAAAAGTTGGAGATAAATGTGAGATTGAGATAATTTTTTAAAAACTAATATAGAATGGGTAATAGTGTTGGTGGGGCCAACAGATAAATGGCAAAACTGATAATGCGAAAGAAAAAGGGGGTTATTGCATGTCCAAAGGCCAAGCAGCCCCGTAGCTAGGATGCCGTGTGAAAGCCGAAGTCGCACCTCCCGCACGGCCCCTCCGGCCAGCCGGGCGCCTCAGATGAGAGCTGCGCCCAGGCCAGCGCCAGCCGCTCAGCCACCAGCAGCGGCACCCTCCTCTGCAGTTGGCTCTCCTCCTGCTGCTGCGCCCCGGCAGCCAGGTCTGCTGTCCCAGATGGCAACCACTGCAGCTGGTGTGGCTGTGGGCTCTGCTGTGGGGCACACACTGGGCCATGCCATTACTGGGGGCTTCCGTGGAGGAAGTGATCCTGAGCCTGCGAGGCCTGACATCACTTACCAGGAGCCTCAGGGAACCCAGCCAGCACAGCAGCAGCAGCAGCCTTGCTTCTATGAGATCAAACAATTTTTGGAGTGTGCCCAGAACCAGGGTGACATCAAGCTCTGTGAGGGTTTCAGTGAGGTGCTGAAACAGTGCCGACTTGCAAACGGATTGGCCTAATCAAGAAGTTCCACCTGGAGAAATGGAAAACCAGCTCTCATAACCAAGTTAACTTAATATAAAAATTTCATTAATAGTGAAGGTATAAAGTGTAGCCATCAGTTAAACCTCTCCTGTCATTCCTAGCTTCCTTGCTTCAGAATTGAAATGGAAGGGGGTGTTCCTACTCTGTAGAATTTGGAGTTGGTCAAATGTTTGTGTGGCCTCCTTAAACTAGCTGTTATGATTTTATTCTTTGTGAGTTAATTAGAATAAAGTGATTTTCACCACCCCCCAAAAAAAAGAGAGAGAGAGAAAGGGATATTTATTGCTTGTGTAGCACGCTTGAAAAGACTTGAGGGGTGAGCTCCAATTTGTGGGCAGATGCGCTGGCCCTGCATAGTAGCTGTAGCAGGCGGTGATGTGGTGTGCATGGATGCAGGTAGCTTGGGAATACGGTGATGTGATGGGCATAAGTACATACTTGCCTTTTTTTTTTTTTTTTCAGTAAAGATGGCAGGTTTTCAGTTGAGAATGAAGAGAAGAGTTTGGAAGTTTGAGAAATGTGAAATTGACGTTGGAAACTGTTACAATAAGTTACTGGACAGTGATGAAAACTATATGAGCCATATTCATATAGATACAAAGCAACACAGGTCAATGTGGCGGTCTTTGTTCTCTAGACATGTTTAGTATTTTTAGGCACATGTTAAGAGTAAGAAAAAATTAGTTTTAGCCAGAGTCACATTTTGTTTCTTTTTAACTCTTAAAGTAGTAGCACAGTGCTGGGAGTATAGATAATGGAATTTGGGAACAGGGACGAGAGAATAATTATGAGAAAGAACCACAGAAGCTAAGCTGGTTAAGGAGGGAAACAATTAAATGGGGATGATAGTTGGTGAAAACTTACCAAGTTGGAGTGATGGTGCTAAGGGGAGTGACTAGAGAGAGAAGAAGTGATGACCACAGCGTGGGATGCTTGAAATGGAACTGTTGGTGATGCCAGTGATTAGTAATGACACAGCGCATGGTATAACCATGAGTGTAGTGGCTGATGTTCAGGCAGGGGCAGAACAACATCTTCAAAAGTGGTCAAGGAGCTGAATGGCCAAGACGGTGAATGGAGTATGAGCAGGGAGGGCCAGTGGGTTAGCTGCTAAAGTATTCAGTCAGTGATAAGGAGACATATGCTTGTAAAAAGGTCATTAGAGAGGAAGAAGGATCAAAGATCTGAAAGTAGCTGCAAATAGCAAGGCAAGATCAGTCCCCACTTCAGGCCAATGATATGCAGGTTGTGGGACAGGAAAACAGCTAGGCTTGAGAGGTCTGAAAGGAAGGTGATGTCTTCAGGAGGCAACCATGATTCAGAGAATAGGGGAGGGTGATGGCAGCTGTAAGATCTAGAGGGGATTATGGAAATGTCCTAGGACAGGAGAGGGCATTGGAGATAGAAGCAAATGAGAGAATACACTGGGCAATATGGAGATAAGCAAATAGATGAAGGAAAAATGGAAAACTTGGACTATTTTGGTAACAGTTAACCAGGGATGAGGACATGATGGCATGACCCTGGGGATCACTTCAGTGTGGTGCATAATTAACCCAGTGAATCATGAGGAAGCAGGGAACAGGGAATGGGTGTGTGGAGAAGAGAGGGCTGGGAGGGACATCCTGTTTTCACAAGAGCAGGTGGGATGCTCAGGGCCTTCCCCAGAGGAAATAGACAGTTGTCCTCAAAGAAAATGATGCCAATTTGGCTTGCCACGTAACAATTCACTGTTCTGTTGCCTTTACTCCCTACTTAAGTCTGGCCTCATAGTGGCTTATCCCTCAAGAGGCCATTCAGACAGCAGCTATTCAGAGGTTCAAAAATAAAGAGCATCATTCAGCCTTGGACCTGAGCTACAAATCGTGCTTTAAAAAGCACACTTTTCATCAGCTGAACTTTTCACTCAAAGATCTACAGTAGGTTCAGTAGATTTTAGTTGTCTGGGGCACTGTTAGTTCTTCAAGTCACTTCAGAGCAAGAGGGCCTTAAGCTGGGCAGTTTTAACTTTCAACTCATTCCCCGCTTGTGCAATTAGGAAGACTATAAAGAGAATAATGAAATAGACTTTTGGGAGCCACAGTTCTAGCACTCCTTTCCTGTGGTTTGTGAGTTCAAATGAGGCAAAATGTTTCTAACTCTGGATGCTTTTTTTGAATAAGAGAGTAGAAGCCACATGGGTACTAAGTGTGTTTTCAGGTCTCATGGCGTGCTGCTAGGGGGTTATGCGCAATGCCATCTTGATGGCATGAGCTTGGTAGGTCATGTTTATTTTATTGAAAAGACTCCCTAGGGTCGGCACTGAAGGCACACTTGCCATGCTGTTCCATGGGCTAGAAAGGCCCCTTACCAAAACTGCAGCTGTGTCCTGATGACTTCCTATTCATCTTTCAGGACTCACCAAAGTCATGGCTCTGCAGTGCTCTCCTCAGCTTCACCTTTATGGTCTCTTTAGTTACTTCTATAGTACATCATATAATGTGGCAATAACTGTAAATTTATGTCTCCCAGAACACCTGGTCCATAGCCCTCGGTTTATTCATCATAGCCCTTAGAAACATTCATCATATTCTATCCAATACCTTTAACACCCAACATCATTTTCAGTGTAGACATGCATAGAGCTGATGAAGGGCAGTTATAGGTAGGGTTTAGACATAATTTTCAGATTATGGCTCTAATTGTATTATCTCAGAATAGAAAGAGTGGGTTGGGTTACTTTCCTTGCCATCAATCCCTGGAAGATTATCTGGGCACAGATAAACTTAAGATTCTCTGAGACAAGGATATAATATCCTGTTCTGGTGAGCACGATACTTTTAATGCTGGTCAAATCCCTGAGGCCAGAACCTTGCTATGTTCCTTAGGAGATGAAACACTTTCAGTCGAAATAATTTGAGTGCTGATAGCTTCCATTTAGTGAACACCTACTATGTGCCAGGAAGTATGCTAATCCCTTCACCTATTGTACTGCATTCTTCATAAAAATCTTATAAGGGAGGAATTATTACTCTTACTTCCAGAAAAAACAAATTTAGGCTTATATTTATTACCTAACTTAAGTTCATAAAGCTATGGGGTGGCAGAGTGGGGTTTGAACCCTGCTCTTAGATTCCAAAACTCAGGCATGTGCTACTCTAGTCAGAGTGCAGCTCTGCAATGTACAGAAGACTGGGATTTGTGGCAAGCATCACATTCTTTAATGCTGTCCTGAATTTTCAAGGTGCCATAATTATATCAATAATATAAACTGCCCTTTCTAGGAATGATTTTTTGAAGAATATCCCAGCTTGTGAATTAGAGGGAATGATTACTTAAATTCCTTTGGACTTTTTAGTCATTTCATAATGTTACATATAAAATCTATGTTTCAGTGGGCCTGACATCATAGGCAACTCTGTTTTAAATGTTCTCCAAAGGATGCTCAGGCATATAGTTTGAATAGTGAAGCTAACACAGTAGGCCCCTCACCGGCAAGCAAATCCTTTCTCTTGAGTTTATAACTTAAGATTCATTTTAATTACCTAAGTAGTTTTAAAGAGGCATATACAGGATGTAGCAAATGAAATCTTGATATCTCCTAACTACTTTGTATCCTTATTGATTTCCAATTTATCCTTATGTTAATTTGCAATTGACATTGTCTGGGCTTTTTATTGAACTAACAGAAATACAGAAGAACATGCTGCTTATGGTATTCATTGATTAGAGGTCATCATCACTGAAATTGACAATTAAAATTAACATTAGCATCCCTCAAATATCACAGGCAAAATAATACTGTGTATGTGTGTTTGCATATGTTTGCATTCCAAAAAATTACTGCAAACTCACTGTGCTGACATTCTCTTTGGCATAAGGCTTGGAGGGATTTAAGAGCAAGAAGATACAATCCTGGCCTCTTAAAGAGGCTTCATTTAGCGATAGAGTTATCAATGGAGCAAAGTGACAGACCCTGGGATAAGCACATTACATACCACCCTTAACAACGACCACATCCCTACTCTGTAGGAGTGAGTTGCTATCTCCACTTTGTAGATGAGATCAGACAAGTCAACTTACCTGACATTGTCATGTATCTTGCATAAGGCATCTCTAGAGGTGTATCTAGGTTTGAATGGCTCTCAATTTTCTATTTCCACTTTGCCACTCTCTCCTCTAAATTTCTTCTTATTTGGTGAAGAAAATAATCAGATGTGGAAAAGACAGAAAGAGATATATGCAAATTGGGGCACGAAAAGCAACTCACACTGCTTTGAGATTCTAGGAAGGTTCATGAGGAAACTGACATTGATTTGGCTCTTAAAGGCTATTTGGAGTGTGCCAGCTAGAAGGAAGGCAAGGAAGAAGAACACAGCAACAGCATGTGGAAAGTTCTAGAGGCATGAAATGGCAGGGCAGGTGTGGCGGGAAGTGGTAGGAGACGAGAATGAGAATGAAACTGGAAGTCAGAGCCTTTTATACTATGTGAAGGGCCTTGTCCCAGGCAACTGAAAGTCATCAGATGCAGTTAGCAAGATCAAGCTATGGTCGGAGGGGTGATTTTGAAAAGGCAGCCTGCAAAGGACAAAAGTACAGGAGAGATGCTGGAACAAAAGGCACTGGGTAGGATGTCTTCATCAAAATGTTAGGAAAAAGTGATTAATGATAGCAGATTAAAAAGACAAAGATGAATGGAATAGACTGGCTGGTGAGCAAATTTATGAACGAAGAGGGTAGAGAAGGAAAATATGAGTTGGCTGAGCGCAGTGGCTCAAGCTTGTAGTCCCAGACAAATTAAGTGACCCGTCATAGCTATGTATCTTGTGTAACTTTTGGGAGGCTGAGTAGGGCAGACAGCTTCATTGCAGGAGTTTCAGACCAGCCTGGGAAATATGATGAAACCCTGTCTGTACAAAAAAATACAAAAATTAACAGGGTATGGTGGTGCACACTGTAAACCTAGCTACTCAGGAGGCTGAGGTGGGAGGGTCTCCTGAGCCTAGGGAGGTCAAAGCTGAAGTGAACCGTGATTATGCCACTGTACTCCAGACTGGGTGATAGAATGAGAGTGAGACTGTCTTAAAAAAAAAAAAAAAAAAAAAAAAGAAAACGAAAGAAAAAAATGTGAGTTAACATTTACAGAGTCCTTCTTGTATTCTACTAGCAGCTGTGCTCAGCCTGACCCAAGCTATCTCATTAAGACCACATAACAAGTCTATGGGAGTAATACTTTTATTATTCCAATTGCACAGAGGAAAAGAGTTATGCATGGAAGGTTCAGTAACAGCTGGAAAATTGTAGACAATTTGAACCCAAGCAGTTTTACTGAATAACTTTTCTTTTTTTTTTTTTTAACTAGTGCATCATATAGCTTCCTGGATGAGTCTGAGGTTTTTATCAACTAGGATAAGGACTAGAAAAAGATGAAAAGATTGAAGGGAGAGTTATTAAGATCAATTTTCACATTTTGAGTTTGAATTTCCTATAGTATGTCCAGGTGGAAGTAACTGGTTAAATAATTGGGAAGAGAGAGAAGGGAATTAAGAAGTTATTGCTATAAAGATACTGGTTGATACCACAGGACCACAGATGCTCGGTCGGTGGAAGGGTAGAAATGAAAGTAGGACAGTGGTAAGGATGAAAGCAGTACAGACCACTTTCCCTCTTGAAAATAAATAAAAACATGCAAACATTCAACCTTCAATACAAACCCAATAAACTTAAGTATGTAGACTTTATTTCCATTTATGCCTTTTGTAACTTTTTGTTCCAGTGTGAGAAAGATTATTTGCCTGGCTTCTCAAAACTATTGCCTTATTGTGAAGAACTGTTCTCCCAAAACTCTAGCTCCAGAGAGCCCTGGGCTTTTCTAGAAAATAGCAATGCTGAGGTTCCCATATTTGTCAAAATTAGAACTTTAGGCATTCACCACTTAAAATTATTTTATGTTTCAACAGGAAAGACTGATACTGTCAAATGAGAAGCAAAATAGTTTGTTTCTTCCAAACTTTTCTCCTCCTCCTGCACCCCCCGCCCCTCACCATTCCAATTATCTTCTTGCTACAAACCACCTTTGCCAGCTGGGGTAGGGAGAGACCCAGATGGCAATAGTCTGAGTGAGAAAAAAAGGTCACTACATGGCACACGCTCCAGCAGTTTCACTGAGAGGGACACAGTAACAACATTTCACTGCTGGTATTCCAAAGTGCAGTTGATGGGAGGTGGAAGAGGGTTGAGCGGGAGACGGGTGCTCATGTGGGCATGGTTTAATAAGCATTGTTTTCCAATTCCTAAATAGCAGGAAGAATTTCTCTGTGACTATCCTGCAGTTCAGAGATTCAGTCCAGAAGGACAGAGTAATTCAACGCCTGAATGGTTAAATGCCATTTTTTATCATATTTCTTCTCTAAGGAGCATTTTGTGTTGCAGATATGCATCTGAGGATCTGGCAGGGTGGACAGTGGACATCAGAAGGGGGCTTTCTCATGGAATCTCAAAGTTCTATGTCAAGTCATCTCACAAAAGCAAAACTGAGCAGTGCCGGAGAAGAATTTTAAAAGCAGCTCAAAGGTTCCTGGTGATTCGACTGTATTTTATAAAACTCTTTACATATCTCTTTTTGGTCATGACAAAGTCTATTGGCACAAACAGCACAGCCACAAAGTATTCTTTTTAATAGCATATATTTATATATATATATATATATTTTTTTTTTTTGCTTATTTTCATTTCCTCAGCAAAAAGGGAAATAAAAATATTGATCTATAAAATAAGCCGATGATAACACAATGCCAAAAATAGCTTATGTTAAGTGCAAGGGGTGAAGCTTGACAGCAAGCTAAATTGCAACAACATATTGATTTAACATTTTAAATACAAGACTTGCAATAAAATAATTCTTGAAATATGCTTCTCATTTTTAGTTTACTTTCGAAAAACTACTCTATATACACATATCCAGTTGTAACACTTGACAGTAGCATTATGGGGCATGATATAACTTTGGTACACATTGCAGTTATGGATGGCTAATGTCTGTAAATGATATTCCTTCACCAGTTAGACCTCTGTACATCCAGGTGACCAGCCACCTGGTTCTAAGTCATCTCCCCCTAGAATCCCCAGAGTCCTTCCCAGAGCCATCAGAGACAGCAGGAGGAAGCAGGTTCACTGGATCCATATTGTGTTTCCTCTCTCGGTTCTCCTGGGTTCCACGGTCAGCTCTCCAAACGTGGAGAAAAACTGCTCCATTTCTTTCTGTAGCATGTCATTTCTTTTCTCGGCATCTTCTTTTGCTCGCTCGGCATTTCGCATTTTTATTTCTATCATTGTGAACTTTTTCCGCTCCTGATCCAGTTCATCATGGAGGCTCATCATTTCTGTTTCCAAAGTCAAGTTTCGCTGTTCTAAGCTACAAAGGATGGGGGGGTTGGGAGGCAAGAGTAAGATAAAGTGATTTTATTCACTTGAAATGCAAGAGGCATACAAATATTTTCTAAACTCCTTATGACGCTTAGGAAATTGGAATAAAGCCCTTTCAACAATTTAAAAGATGTAATTTTGTGGTATTATTTTACTATTTGCTAAGATCATTTACTGTCATTTTAGTAATTAGGTTCCAAGGCCTCTCTTGGAAGCAGCTGTCATTTAATAGTAAATAAGTGAATGTCAGCATAGAGAAGCCAGTGACACATTCCAGGCAGAAGAGGCAGAAAGCTTCCTGGACATTAAATTGTAAAATTGACTATAATAAATGCAGAGGGAAAGTCTGATAAAGTTGGAGAAAAAAAAAGGGGGCAATAACATTTGCTTTCTATTGAAGGAAAAATAGTGCTGGGAAATGTCATTGTTGGTTAAGGTAACTGCTAAGAATGCAGTTTTTGGAAGCATTTAGAGTCACACCTTCTAAAAGAATACACAAAGTAGTGAGCTTACATTTTATAGCACAGGTAAAGATCACATGTGTTAAATAAGCCCTGTATCTTATATTTTGTAAAAATAAAGCCCATCTCTTGCTATCCCCAATTCTCACTGCTTCTCAAGTTAATGTAGCTTAGGACATAGGTATTTTATATCTCTTTATAAATTGATAGTGGTTTTGTATAGCTGTATTGATAACTTTTCGATAATTGTAGAATTTGCAATAACATCTTTAAAAACAGAAATTGTTTTCTCCATAACAATTAAGATCCAAATCATACACATATATTATTCAAAAGAGGAGTATTAAAATTACATCTTTATTGTAAGATGTATCTTGATCACGGCTGAATTTTTAATTTCTTCTATTCTGAGCTAAAGTCCCATGGGACTCATTCAAATTTACAATACCACTGAAATTTGAAAAGTTATTGCATTTGTAGCTCTCAGAAATCTGATTATTTTAATAACAATTTTAAAATTAAAATCTCAATTATGTTACTGTTTTAACAAATTTGAGCCCCAAATGTTGATATTTCATCCAGATAATAAGAACACTTTAAAATTAATCTTCCCTCTCTTTGTAAGAACTGGAATTAAAAAAAATACTTCATATTTTGTAATCCTACATCATTTAGAAGGCTGTTTTTAAACCTATGACCATATTTTTAAATGAAAATTTGATACTATGCTGGTTGCCATCCAGAATCTACAATATATTCTCTTTGCTTTCCAAAGCCATTTTAGTGCCAAAATGTTGGAGGAAACTGAAGTTAAAATACTGAGAAGGACAACCCTTACAAAACAATGTATTGACACATTTGTATTTATCAGGTGCTTGCAGGAAACTTCCAGGAATGAAAAGGGCTGAATTGACTACAGAAGAAATCCCTTTCAATGCAAACATATGAAAATGCTGGAAATATTTTAAGAAATCTATTTTAAAAATGCACAATCAAGGTTAAAATAAAAGAGCAACTTCAAGTATCAGAATCAAGAAAGAAACTGAAATATAGAACAGTAAGTAGAAGCACACAAGGGATATTAGTCATGGATAGAAGCCACAGGATTGGGGTTACGTTTTTCCTTTTCACACAGCGACAGAAGATGAGGCCTCCAGCATTAGGGAGGCAGAAAACTACAAGTGATTTAACTGAGAGCTTGGAACACCAGCTGTTTTTATTTAGAAGAGACTACAAAATCTTTACTCATGGGCCTGGGGAAGTATCAGAATTGAATTAGCACAACAGAATATTAGTAAGCTACAAAACGAGTCTGAGAAAAATTACCTAGAATGCCTCAAAAATGACAATTATTGGCTGGGCAAGATGGCTCACGCCTGTAATCCCAGCACTTTGGGAGGCTCAAGTGGGTGGATTATGAGGTCATGAGACTGAGACCATCCTGGCCAACATGGTGAAACCCTGTCTCTACTAAAAAATACAAAAATTGGCTGGGTGTGGTGGCACACACCTGCAGTCCCAGCTACTCGGGAGGCTGAGGCAGGTGAATAGTTTAAACCTGGGAGGCAGACATTGCAGTGAGCGGAGATTGTGCCACTGCACTGCAGCCTGGTGACAGAGCGAGACTTCGTCTCAAAAAAAAAAAAAGAAAAAAAAATATTTGCAGAAATTTAATATAGGAAAAAGGAGTTAACAAAGATGGAGGACAAACATATCCTAATAAGGGTTCTGGAAAGAGAAAATTGAGAAGGTGGGAAGATAAAATAGACAAAAAGATGATGAATAAAAATATTCCAGAATTGTAAAAGATGTAAGCTGTTAGATCAAATCGTGAAACAAAGTTTGAAAGTTAAAGAAAGGAAAAGATATATTGGGAAGTTACTAATCAAAGGAAGATGGCATGACAGTATTAATACCAGAAAAATAGACTTTCAGGTCAAAAGCATCATTACAATGAAAAATAACCACTGATTAATGATAAAAGGATCAATTCTTCAGGGAAATATAAACAACTCTAAACTTCTATTTACTTAGTAGCAGAACCTCAAATTGTTCAATATAAAATATGACAAAATTGTAAAAAGAAATGGGTAAACTCAGAATACTGTTAGGAAATCTTAAAATATCTTTCTCAAAAGTTATAGGTCTAGCTGAAAAAAATGAGGAGAAACGTAGAAGCTTTTACTAGCCTGATTAGCAGACTTGATCTATGGGTCATATATGGAATCCCAATTCAGTAATAAGGGAATAGTTTTAACCGACCAAACAATTAATATCATCCAAATGAACTTCTCTGACCACAATACAATATTTTCTAAGAAAATAAAGTTAGAAATCGCTGAGTGCAGTGGATCATGCCTGTAATCCCAGCACTTTGGGAGGCCAAGGTGGACAAATCATTTGACGTCAAGAGTTTGAGATCAGCCTGGCCAACATGGTGAAACCCCCATCTCCACAAGGAAAAAAAAAAAATAGCCAGGTGTGGTGGCTACTCTGGAGGCTGAGGCAGGAGAATTGCTTCAACCTGGGAGGTAGAGGATGCAGGGAGCAGAGATCATGCCACTGCACTCCAGCCTGGGTGACAGAGTAAGACTCCTCAAAAAAAAAAAAAAAAAAAAAAAAAAAAAGAAAGAAAAGAAAAGAAAAAGAAACCAATTTGGAGAGGGAAAAAAGAACATCAAACTCACATATTTCAGAACTGAAAACCATATATTTCGTTGATTGATAAAGTAAAATATTATCTGTCTACCTACCTTCATATTTATTTACCTACCTACCTATCGATCCATCCATCCACCTTCAATCCTTGTTGGGTAAAATTATAAAGGAATTTAAAGAAAAAAGAATAACTCTAAACAGCAATGATCAAAATTTAGCCAGAACAGTTATCTTTCTATAATCTCATGGCTAGGCCACACGTGGCCCTCCACCCTACCCTACTGCAGACCTCTCCCTTGGCCTCTCATGAGGGTAAGAATGTGACAGTGAAATGGCCCATTGAGATGACACTCTATTGGGAAGCTCTATCAGTTTATCAAAATCTCTAAAATACACCATAGATCCACAGATCTCAGAACATATATGCATCAGCAACATCCTCAGAAATGAATGTATCCATCTGCAAATTTGTAATGAACCCTTTTTTTCTTTTTCTACTACATTTAAAGTGTGACCCCTTGCCTCAAAATATAAGCTTCCCAGTGTGAAGCGCTAATTTATCATCATGCATTGGCAGTAATTCAGAATTCTAACACATAGTGGTTCCAAAAACTACATTCAGAAAGAAGAGTAACCTTTTAAGACGATGACCCTATTTTTTTAATTTAAATCTCCTGCCACTCTGCATTATATAGAAAAATTCAAACCACATTTCCACTCAGTGAAATTTACAAAAAAAATACTTTCCAAGAAAGTAATTTTTCAATCTCATTTATAAGTAGTATTTTTATATATTTACTTTGCCATAGCTTCTGAAATGTTATCTTTTGGTCTGATAATTGATAAATGGATAAAAAACATACTAAGGTAAATCAAAGCCAACTTACAACCGACTTGCGGATCCCAGCACATCATGGAGGAAGGGTCGCTCAAACCACACAGCCTGAAACTGGGACTAAGACAGCTAGAGGAGCTACTCCTACTTTGATCATTTTATGAGAAGATGTAAATTGATATAACTCGGTTTTAGCATAATTGCTTCTTGGTAAATCATGTTATTTGTTCATCATTTAGGCTACAGTCTCCCTTGTTCATGTGAACACACTTTGCATCTCCCCTCTTCTCAAAAACTTCCATGAATTCCTATCTCGGAGTAAAAGTCAAAGGCTGAAAATGAGCCTGTCAATCCCCAATGCCACCTGGCTCTTATTGCTTCTCTTAGCTTATCTGGATCCTCAGGGTCTGGAACAGAGCCTGGCAGAAAGAAGGCACTCTCTCAATATTCGATGATTGAAAGAATAAAACATGGAGATATATTTACTTCTACTTTTATTTTTACCCCAGTTTCATCCTTTTCTTGTCAGTGAAAACTGACAGGCTCCTAAATGCTCTGTCCATCTCCTCCACAGCCCCTCTCCTTCCTGCTAATCTGCCTATTTAATAATAATCAAAAATGACATTATTGAGCCTATTCTACTGTACCAGGGAAATGTTCAATCACTTCTTATGTGCTTTTGAGGTAGATACTACTAGCATTTAAATTGTTTACGTTAGGGAACCAAAGCTCACAGAGATGAAGCTAACTTCCCCAAAGTCACAAAGCTTATAAATGGTGTTGCAAACTTGGGTCTCGTTGACTTTGGAGCCAGCATTATGTCACCCTCAGTATGATCCTGTCCCACAGTAGGAGGCTAAAGAGCCCTCTCTGGTAGTTACAACAGCCAGATTTTCCTCACCTCTTTATCCTGGACTCATACTCTATCTTCTGTTTGGTCATTTCCTGTTTCAGGCTGGAAACTAAACTGTGCAGTGCACTGTGGTTGCTGCTACTGTTACCAACAAATGTCTCACTGTTGTCACTGCTGCTGGTGGCACGACTACTTCGACCTCCTACACTCCTATGGTCACTTTTGCTTTCATAGTCCCTGGGGTGGGAGAGGTCATCCTGTGGAGGCCCATCCAAAACAGGGTCCTCAAAGTTCCCTCCATAAAAGTCTTGCTCTGGGCAGGTGGTGGTGGAAGAGCGACAAGAGTTGGAGTTCTCGGGGAGGGAGATTTCACAGGAGGAAGTGGACCAGGTGGCGCTGTCGATGCTCTGCTTGTCATCAAGGTTCATCATGGAGAACTGTTGATGGACGTTATCATAGGTGGACAGTCTGTTGTGCTGGCCTGACTCTCCAGCTTGTTCTTTCTGCTTGTTATCCCTCAGGGTCACATAGCCATTTGGCAGCCAGCTCATGTTTCGACCATTTGCGGGATTCCCGAGTGTGTCACTGGTCAAAATGCCCATGCGCACTGTTCCATTCTGTACACTGTGTGTGCCCATTTTGGTACCAGATCCCTTCAGTGAAGAGTTCCTTCTGGCTTGTAGGCTCCCATTGGGGGTGATTTGGGTTTTCTCAAGACCTTCTGCATTGCTGCTGCTGAAGGACCCATTGGTAACTATCCCACTACCCTTATTAAAAGCTGGGTTCTTTTTGACCATGAGAGGGGGGCTTCTGGACACATCTAGCTTGTGAACACTGTTCCTTGGGCTGTTGGTTTTGCTGCCTGATAGAGCAGTGGGGGATCCATTGTCCATGCTGCTTCTCTGGGGTGACTCTGACTTGTCCCAGGAGCACCGCCTACCAGGGCTGTCCTTGGTGTTATTGTTTTCCTTGTTCTGTAACTGCCCCATGGTGGCTTTCTTCTGAATTTCATTGTTGTTGTTGCTCACTCCATCTTGGGGCTTGCTCTGTAGTTCTGTGTCTTTGGGAAAGAGGCAGTCATGTTTGCTAATCATCACTGACATCAACTGCTGGACCACCACAGTGCCTAGAATTGCATAGAACATAAAGTAGCATGACTGAGACAGTTTTTATTTATTTCTATTTGAATGGGACTCTTAAAGAGACACATTCAAGTGAACATTCATTATTATTCACAGTACCAAACCACATTCTTAACTATGATAATAGCAATAGAAGCTAAAACATCTTGAGCACTTACTCTGTGCTATGAACTGTGTGAAGAATTTTCCTTCTGTAATTTAATTGAGTTTTGTAACAAATCTATACATATTATACTCTTATTATCACTGTATTATAAAGGTTAAGTAACTTGATTAAGGACCAGACCCAGGGCTTGAACCCAGAATTAATCATTTAAAAGCTGGGCTCTTAATCATAATACAATATTTATTACAAGTTTGACATTTAATTCTGAGAAATCTTTCCCAGGAGGAGGTCACCATGACCCCTCATCTAATAATTGCCTCAAACTATCAAGATAGCTTTAGCGGTAGCTATAAATAGAACCCTAATCTCTGGTGGATACATTGTTTTTCTAATGTAGCAAGACAATGAAAATTCATAAGACTTTTGATCACCATTCGAACGCTTCAGGGCATTTTAAATGACATCAGCCAGAATGGTGTAGTGAAGACTTCCAAAAATTCTATTCACCATATAAGCAACAAGCAGAAATTTCCAGAATCAACTATTTTGGAATTCTGTAAATGAACTAATGGCTTGATGCAATCTGGAAATTGTTTACGTAAGAAAAATGGCTGAATCGCAGTAAGAGCAGCAAGGTCTGTGGTATTTTCACTTGCTCTAATCTTATCTTCCTGTCTTGAAAACCAAGAGCCCACAGTCACAAAGAAAACCAGCCATCTGGCAGCCACTGGAATGGGCAAAGCAGGGTTGGATGTTTAGTTAGTAAATATAGTTTCTATATAAAATACTTAAAACATGATATTAGGCACAAAAAAAATAAAAAAAAAAAAGATGAAAAAGGCTTTTGACAATGCAGAATTTCATTAAAACAGCAGCTAATTGAGAGGCTGTCAGAGAGCAGAAACCTGACCTGCGGCAAGGTCACTTTTGAGCTTCAAATGACACCTGGTAAATATAATTCAAAATCAGATTTTGAATAGAAAAAACAACATATTATGTTCATTTATATTCTACATGCTTTTCCTGTGATGATTCAAAACTTAGACTATTTTAGACTGCGTATCTGCAATGAGCAAGATCTATTGCTGCGTCAATGTTGTTCAAATTTTAAAGTTCATAAAAATTACCTGGAGATCCTGTTAAAAGGAAGATTGAAATTCAGCAGGCATTGAGTGGAACATGAGATTTTGCATTATTAACCAGCTTCCAGATAACATCAGCAATAATAGAATAGTAGCACTGGCATCACCTGGAAGCCTGAAAATTTCATTACCCAATGCAGAGCGTCTGAATCAGAATCCCCAGGTGATTCCTGGGGCCATTACAGTTTGCATCTACTGTAGTAGATGCAAATGTTTCCCTTGTATCTTCCAAATTAAATTTCTTGAAAGTCCAAAAGAGGATTCATTTTTTCAGATGAGAAAATTGAGGGTCAGAGAGGTTAAGCTATTTGTTCAGGGCACAGAGACAATGTGATCAAAGTGAAATGTAATATTTAGTTTTATTGCAAATTATGCATTTGTCCTACTATAGTTCAGCTGCTGCAATTTAAAACTGTAGCAGTAATAAGTAAACTTGGGATAGTTTTAAAGATAAAACTAGCCAGCCGCGGTGGCTTATGCCTATAATCCTAGCACTTTGGGAGGCCGAGGCAGGTGGATCACAAGGTCAGGAGTTCAAGACCAGACTGGCCAACATGGTGAAACCCCATCTCTACTAAAAAATACAAAAAACTAGCTGGATGTGGTGGCTTGTGCCTGTAATCCCAGCTACTTGGGAGGCTGAGGTAAGAGAATTGCTTGAACTAGGACCCAGGAGGTGGAGGTTGCAGTGAGCCAAGATCGTGCCACTGTACTCCAGCCTGGGCTACAGAGTGAGACTCCATCTCAAAAAATAATAATAATAGGGGAAGATGGCCGACTAGGAGCAGCTCAGGATTACAGCTCCCAGTGAAAGTGCAGAGGGTGAGTGCACGCCGCATTTCCAGATGGATTTTTATTGCCTACGGTTCGCCAGTGCAGCTGTTTCGGCCCGCACGGCTGCTTTGCCCACACCCTGGTGTGGCGGTTTTCCATACAAAAGACACTGGTCCAGGTGCCCTCTTAGCTGGCGATTGGAGCCCTGAGATGGCAGAGTCGCCCATTCAATATTATCCCTAAATGTAAATGGACTAAATGCCCCAATCAAAAGACACAGACTGGCAAATTGGACATAAAACCAAAAACCATCAGTGTGCTGTATCCAGGAAGCCCATCTCATGTGCAAGGATACAAAAAGGCTCAAAATAAAGGGATGGAGGAAGATTTACCAAGCAAATGGAGAGCAAAAAAAAAAAAAAAA